TCCTTCTCTTCTAGTGCTGTGGCTGCGGCATCCTAAGGTTCCTTATCCATGTTGGGAGTGACTTCCCGGCAGTCTGACGAATGCGTTCATTCACACTCGGTCGTGTGAAGCGGTAACCACTGTGAGCATACGCTGTTGCTACAAGTTGTGCTTGACGCCTGCTGTAGCGGAATTTCACGTGGTTATTGAAACGGTTGTGTTGTGTGTACACCAAGTAAAGAGAGGTGGATCGGGTTGGTACAGTCTTGGTACCACGAACTTACGGTAATACAGTACCTTATCGGGTAGGGATAAGGGATCAGACTTCTGTCAAAGGATCGCAATGTAGAAGTCAGTCAGACTAGATTCTAGGGTTTTGTTACCGTAGTTAAAGAATCAATTAAGTTCATTTCCTCTTTTAAATCGTTGGACACAAGTGCCTAGCTAAGGCGTAGTGTGTTGTTAAGAGCATTAGCCTTGTAAAGGCGCTTACTCTTGTCTAACTAGTAGTGACTAGTTAGTGTGTGATTCTGTGAATCATAGTCCTTTTGGAACCGGGATTGCTTGGCTTGTACGCTTGAAACGACTGTACGTCGTTGTTACTTTGTTAAAACTAATAGACTCTTTTCGTCCAAGAATTTCTCGGTCAAGGATTGCTAAGTAGCTCCGCTACAATTGCGGTGTCACGCTTATTGTTGTACTGACCCGTTGTTCCCACAGCATCACTGTTAAAAAATCGATGGTACTCTCCTTGGATCGGATCATGTTGTTAACTGATTCAGCGACCGCAATAAGTGCTTTAATGCAGCAATTCACAGTGTTCTTGGAGCCCATGGGGTGCCAAACATCACCGATCTCATTTAGCTGAATATAATTATCTTGACTTTCGATGACGTTACATCTGTTTCCAAAAAATGCATACGAGCTCCGTGTTTACTAGTCCACATGCACGCCTTCTTCGTCTCAAATCCTTCGTCACCACGAATAATCTTGACTTTACGTGCGCCTTTTTGCTCAAATTGTGCTGGATACTGAATGGTTAGTGAAAACTACTGGTCCTTAGCCTTCTTGGCAAAGATGTTACCTTAGTTACTGACATGTTTCACGATCTGTAACACATAATCATCACCTTGCCATGTCGCGAGTTTTAAGTGGAAATTTTGGTCAATACAAAGTACTGCGACAACTTTGTTCGTGGGTGCATGTGCTGCGCTGTCATTACTTAACGTTATCGATCGCGATTGTTTGACCACGATGTCATGGTTGTTCATGCTCATCACATCATTCGTATTCCGATGACCTAGTCGCTTGTGCCACCCTTTCAGCGTGTTAGCCGTCACGTTGACTACATGGACTGTCTCAAAATTTACTCAAGTCTCCACGAGGTAGCAAAATACGCGATTTCAGTTTAATTTGGCAATTACTCTCTGCTTTTGTGCAACCAGATTTTCACGTACTAAAAAGCAATTATCATCGAATATACTCATGACTCCACACTCTTCAAGTTTTGAAACTAAGAGAATATTGACGCTAGCTGATAGAATTTGATGACCGTCCTTGACGTTTATACATTGCACATAATCATCAACGGGTAGGTTGATTGTCACGTCACCAACCTTCGTAGCCCGGATGACTTTTTTGCAACTGTAACATTCAGGCAGCAGGACTGTACATCTTGTAGATTTGTGTCGTCATTCGTGATGTGGTGAAATGCTCCACAGTAGAGCAGCGACATAGCATCTTGGCTTTTGGCATTTGGGAATCTTGGGCTGTCCAGAATGACGCGACAAAAATAGTGTCTTCACCGTGGACATTAGGTATGATAGCGCTTTTCTGTTTCATGCAGCTATTGAGCTGGGGCCACCGTACTTGCTGGCGACGTCTGTTTAGAAAATATAATATATTTTAGTTTGGCCAGCTTGTTGCACAGGAAACAAAGACGTCCTTCACCCACGCTGCTATTTGCTGATCCTTGGTAATGTTGTCTTATCCTGATTATGTCTTTCTTGTTTCTCCTGTCATTCTATACACTGTCCTATTACCGGAATTTTTTTTACCTTTATCATTTGAGAAGACATCACCCTTCACGCGGCACAAACTATCGAGCGCTTTTTCCAGTTCAGGCTGTGGATTTGTGGCGTTAAGGTTAAAATACAATAAGAAGCGTGAAATTATTCTTAGAACTTGCGTAAGGTGCGAAAGTTTTCAGCTCCAGACGATCGCCCGTATTTAGTAATCTCCCCACGTCCGATGGGTATTCTGCGTGATTAGTCCATGTAAAGTGTTTCTTTTCTTTGACTCACAAGGCGGTCGACGAGTTCAGGTAAAATTAGGCGACATCCGTACTGTGCAAGGTACTTTGGCTTACATTCCTTGCATAAAAATATGATATTCTAAAGCTTTCATATTTTGTAGTTGTCGTGGAAACGCTTGGACGGCCTGGAGGTCATGGCCTTGACCATCAGCATTATCTTTGGGAGGTATGCTCAGTTTCTGCATTATATAATGATGCTAATTGTAATAGAGTGCTCCCAACGTAGTTTAAAGTATTTAAAACCGAAACTGATGCCTGTAAAGGTATCTTTCCATGGCGTCAAATTGCTCACATACAGGAGCATGAATGTTTAGAGGCCAATGCCCCATTTAAATTGCAGTCGCCAGGCGTATGGCGCACCTGGTGAAGCTTTCAGCATACTCACATATGAGGAATGGTAACGTTCCCTTTCACCTGCTCTACCAAATGTGAAGCCTACAGGTAGGATTATCACGCATTGGAACCATCAAAACAGTCCGACTGTCGACTTGCTGCTGTAGACGCTCGATGTTGGCACCTTGACCGGTGCCAGCAGGACGCGCTTGACCGCGCATACCCGATGCTCATCCTGCACCGCAGCAATTGACTGCACTAATGATCGCAACATTGACGTTTGATATATCGCCTCATCGGACCCCCTTCTGCTGCATATGCGCTTGCTTCAAAGACCGGCTTCAGATTCGTTAGTACGAGTTCATCGAGCATGGAGATTAATGTTGCGGTTGTGGCACTAAGTTGGGCTCAACTGTTGTGAGTTTCTGTACATAGTACAGGGAGTGCAAAAACTGGTAACAGGGTACTCTGCTCTATGATGACTTAGTAAATTTGAGAATGACTAACTTGGCACTACCCGCCATGTTTTACTTACTCGTCCTCTTCCTATCGATGTGCGCACATCTGTCTTACCTTCGTCATTGAAGGTCTTGATGTGCCTTGCACCACTTCTGTGATGTGGATTCCTGTTGCAATCGATGGCCCTGCTCGGGCATGTTGGCCCCATCACTAGCAATCGTTGATGGATATATGTAGCACCTCATTTTGCTGCAGTAATCATAGGTAGTACGTAAAACTCCTTGCAACGATAAGGCGGTGATTAGTCGCTCAAATTAATTCAGACATCAAAACTTGTTACTTATATAGTAATACTACCGTGGGCAGCCTCCTCGTGCCACACATCGTCACTCCAGCCAGCACATATTTAGTACTCAAGAAGTTGTGGGTTTAGTCGATCGTATAATAATGGCACTGCTTACATAGTGCAGGTCGGTGGAGATACGATGGGTGGAGTAGAATTGAATGACATCAATACACTCGTGAGGTGGTCTAAATTTGCTGCTGGTTGTGGTGCTGCGCGTGCCATAATTTTGAGTCAGCATACAGATTCCCTTATTTGCACATAATGTGGATCGTGAACTCCGACAATGGGGTTCCACCCTGGTGGTGTCTCGGTTGAGCACCGCCGTTTCAATCACATGATGGCCAATCCTATCCCCTATATGACAAACCCAAGGTCGTTAAAAATGTTTGGCACAAAAGTCTCGGTTGTACCTAAAGGAAGTAATCGATTCTAGATGAAGTTGGCAAAATGCAATGTGGAAATATTGAGGTCCATAGTTTACAAACTCAGTTGCTACTCTAAGCCTACTAAATTCTTCGACTACTCGTACCTAATCACCACATCGCGCATTACTAGTCGTCTAGTCGTATGTTTCTAATTCTGGTTGTGCGTTTCCGAACACTCAAACGTACCGAATGTGTGGGACGTCACTGTCTGGAAGAACAGTACTGGTGAAACCCAAACACCTGATCACGAAGAAATAACTCTTTGTTTGCACGCCCCCACCGGTATCGATTCATTGTCCTTTTGGAAGTTACTGCCATACCATACCGGATGATCTACAGAACACTTTTCTGAAACGTAGTGCTGAGGCTGTTCCTTTTACAACAGCACCACCCAGGATCCCAGGTTTCACTGAACTCGGCTTCCTGTAGAAGCATAAACCCCTACATTAAAAATTCGATGGCCCTGGACTGGCTTGCCCCAGAGAATCCAGTAAGTAGTGGCCATGAAAGTTAAAGATGTGTAGGCCCCGCCAAAGACGACAGACGCAGTCGTTAGAAATACTGAATGTGTAACGGGGCACCCTGAAGCTTGTACTGATGACAGTACAAGCTATTCATTCTGATGACAGAATAAGGCGGTGCCTCGGAACTTCACGTACACTCGTACGTGCAGAGGAAGACGGTAAGAAGAAGTGAGTACTTGATTAAATTAAAAAGTAGAACTGTATTTAGTATAGTTAATGTCTGCAATAAATCACTATTTATCTTCATCTAACTATGTCTAAATACAAATGTGCATATCAACTATCTGCTCACCACTCATTGCGTGCGTCTGCCGTGGCGCGTCTTCGTTGGTTGATATAATGGCCTATATCAACCAGTTAGGAGCTACTCGTAAGTGCTACAGAATATTTGTCCTTATGACAATATTCTGAGAATATAACTCTTATAGTTACATTCTATTAACAATTTCTTATAAATTGTTATGCAACGGTTCACCCCGTTACATCACCCCCCCCTTAACCATCAGTCACCTAGTGACTGATTGACTAAATAGATACTCGTCCCAAATCATTTGGGACAGGGTTTGCACTTGTTGGTCCGAGTCCACTTTCCAACATCTCATCGCATGGTTAACAAGCCCATGCGATGCGCGATCAAGGCCGCCGAGAGCGCGTCCGCACGTCCCTGTGCGGACGCCGAAGCAGAAACCGCAGCAACTGATGTCTCATCGGTTGCTGAAGCGACTCAGCCTGTGTCACTTGGTGATGCAGGCGCTGGTCATGAAGACACTCATGTCTTCACAGAGTATGAGCTCGGTGTCTCATACTCTCCTGATACGGAAGACGGATCCGTATCGACGGCGATCGAATCCAAGCCGCCTGCCAAGCGTGGCATGGATGATGCTATGCGTCGTAGCATCTTTGGTTCATCTGATGAATCAGATGAACCATCGCCGAAGCGAAGGCGCTCGAGGTCGCGAGACTCGGGCGCTAACAGTGGTGTCGGTTCTCCTATGGACACCACTTCGCAACGAGGTGCCAGTCCTTCTGTCGGCACGTCGCAGGAAGAGCGGGACCGCAATGTCTTGCGTCTCGCTCCCGAGAAGAAGGCATGGATGCCTCCAAAATCTGTCATGGATCACTTGTCGGCGACGACGAGTGATCGTTATCGAACACGGTTGTTCGATTCGTCAAGGATCCATCACCTTGAACCCAGCGCGAAAACTATCGAGCTGAAAATGAATTCTTTATCGATGCTTTCTTTAGACATCGATGGTACAGTGGGAATCACAAGCGTGATGTTCCCTCACTACTTCAAGCGTGGAACGCCTACATCCATAACCTTGAGGATGTAGGTCGTGACGCTTGGATCGACAAACTTATCAAAGCTCGTGATAAGTTTGAAAAGCGAACCCCGACAGGTGCACGCTACAAGCTGCATCGTCTGTCAAGGGAGAAAGGGTTACCCTGTCTCTCATGGGGAGACTCGTGCCCATGTTGTGTGAACAACTCTGCACGAGCACCTAAGGAGGCTTACCTCCTTACTAGCCCGTGGTGGCGCGTACGTATCTCTACTGAGATGTACGAAGGGATTGACAACCTGAAATCCCTTTACGACCGTGCCGGGAAGACTTTCTCCGGAGGTCCTTCTGCGGCACAGGATGTGCCGCGTCGTACTGCTCAACCAGACACAGTACGTCAACCATCAGTTGGGAGCGGGGCTCCCAGGTATCCCAGGACGCGCGGCTATCCCCCGCGCCACCGGACGAGATAACTCGTCCGACGTCCGTTCACGTCGCGGTGGTTCAACAGCTGCTCAACTAGATAGCGCTGGCCACCGCGAGAGTCCTCTAATGGAGGTGGAGGAGGAGGAAAGACGCTCTCCACACGATCATGTGGATCGGTGTGTTCCCGAGAGCTTCTTTGATCGCGTAACGCAAGGGTTACGCGGTGATCTCGAACATGAGCGGGACAGGCGTCTCCAAATGGCGGAAACTGTCTTGAAGCATCGAGCTGAGTTTGCCTTTGCTCAGCTTGAGAACGAGAGAGCTCTGACGTCTCTGCGTGACGAGCTAAGGGTAGCTCGTGGGGATGTTGAGCGGTCTCAAGCTGAGACAACTGCTTTTCAGATCCTTGTCGATGCCCACCATCGGGAGCACAAGGCTCTCTGCGAGATGCTTGAGCGCAAGGGCGTTCTTCATCGGAAGAAGCAGCGTACTGATGGTACGGCTTAAGCCGACCAACGTAAAACGTGGGATGCGTTCGCATCTTACGTGGCAACTCGATCGTGTATGCATTGCCTAGGCGGTGCAATACACGAAATGGGCCGATGTACTTGGGTAGTAGTTTACTGCTACCCAAGTTAGTCACTACATGCTTTGGTAGATTAACCGTAGACAGTAGGACTAAGTCACCTTTATTAAATAAAAGAGTGTTTGCCCTTCCATTCTTGTCAGCGTTTTGCTTTTGCTTATCCACCGCTTCGGCGATGGAGTCTTGCACAAAACGGACTACCCTTTCACGAGCCAGTATGAACTCGTCTGATGACTCGTTAGCTTCAGTGCGCTGTGAGCGCACTGCAGCAACATCAACCTTTTCTTCAGTGAGGGCTTCCCGCACTCTCACTGGCATCATCTTCTTCGATATCGATGTTATCGATATCGGCATCAAACGCAATGACCTCTTCGTCAGAGCGTGATGAGCGTGAACCAAATCGGTTTTTGCTCGCGCGAGTCCCTCCCCATCTTAAACCAGAGTTACACTCTAGTAAGGTGGGTACACGCGGATGGCGCAAGCCATTCACGTAAAACGGTGTATGGGTCGTGGACGCATGGACCGAGTTGTTAATGGCAAGCTCTACCATTGGAAAAAACTCACTCCAACTCTTAAAGGAGTGTACGTATCCTCGAATTATCTCTTCGAGGACACGATTGGCACGTTCCGTCTGACCATCTGACTCTGGATGATCAGATGTTGACATCTTCAAGCGCGTTCCGAGTGATTTGAACACGGAACGCCAGAAATCAGCAGTGAATCGTGGATCTCTGTCTGATACGAGTTCACGGGGCAACCCATGAAGTCGGAAGATGGTGTCGATAAAGACACAAGCACAGCCACTTGCCGTGATTGTCTCTGGTACAGCCACAAGGTGTACCATTTTGCTGAATCTGTCAACAAATACGAGAATACCCGTATTCCCGCGTGCGTCTTTGGGTAACCCGAAGACGAAATCCATTGAGATGGATTCCCAGCACTCAGCCGGAACCGGTAGAGGCTGTAAAGGTGCACGCAGTGAAGGACTTGACTTCACTCGTTGGCAGATTTCGCATGCGCGAACATACTTTCGCACAAACTGATACTGGCGGGGCCAGTAAAAGTCTCGACTTACCGTGAGATATGTTTTCTCTCGGCCACGATGTCCTCCTATAGGAGCATCGTGATACTTCGAACATGATCCGCAAATGCAGATCAGTATCATCTGGAATGACAACACGTGGTGTGTCACCAGAAACGGCTGTATAATACAGTAATCCGTTGCGAGTAGTGTATCGATCTGATGCAGATCGATACGCAGACGACAATCGTTTCAACGATTCTCGAGACGGCTGTGAGAGATGTGTCAACAACTTCACAATCTCACCATCTTGGGCGTATGCCCGCCTCACATCATCATACAACGTTGTAGATGGGACTGAGGACGTCAAAACCGCAACAGTGACTGTCTCACTGTTGGGTTTCACGACTGGTTCAAAGTCGGGACGACGTGAGAGTACATCAGCGACGACATTAAGTCGTCCTGGTTTGTACTCGACCGTAAAGTTGTATTCCGCAAAGAATGACAACCACCGCGCCATTCGTTGTGAAAGGTGCGGGCTGTTCACTGCCGTGCGTAATGATGCATGGTCAGTGTAAACAATGAAGGGTCTATCTCCTAATAGATAGACTCTGAACTTCGCGAGTGCATACTTCATGGCAAGGAGTTCCTTGTCATGCACTGGATAGTTCCGCTCAGCTGGTTGCAGCTGTCGCGACTGATAGCAGACGACGCGTTCAACGCCTTCAAGATCGTACTGCATTAATGCACAGCCGATTGCGAAATCGCTGGCATCACAGACCACATGAAATGGCCTGTCCTGATCGGCAATTGCTAGGACTGGGGATTGTATCAAGCTCTGCTTGATACCATCAAAGGAGCGCTGACATTCAGCGACCCATAACCACCTCTCGTTCTTTTTCAACAAACGAGAGAGGTGCACAGTCATCTCGGTGTAATTGCGTGAATACTTATGCAAATACGCCGCTAGCCCAAGGAATTTTCGAAGACCTTTGACATCAACCGGCACAGGCCAGTCGGTGATCGCCTTGATCTTTTCGGGATCAGGACGTACACCGTTCTTACCAACGATGCACCCAAGAAGTGGTATTTCGCTTGCTGCAAATATACACTTCTTGAGGTTTGCATACAATTGATGCTGTCGCATGATTGTAAGAACCTGTCGGACGTGGTACCTGTGAACCTCAACGTCCGACTTTCCATCCATAGCCCGACTATGGATGAATACGTCATCGAAATAACTCGGTGCGAATTCTCGTACTGGTCTCAACAGATGTGATACACATCTGTTGAACGTGGCAGGGGCATTACTGAGCCCTTGTGACATTACTAGCCATTCCCAGAGCATGCCGCTAGGCGTGCTAACTGCGGTATAGGGTATATCCCGTTCCCGCATAAGGATTTGATAGAAGCCATCCATCAAATCCATAGATGAAAAGATGGTACTCTTTGGCATACCATCAATGATTACGTCCTTCCTCGGTATCGGCGTCTGAGCCGGTACCGTTGCAGCATTCAACTTGTTAAATGCATGCACTATCCGCCACCCTCCTGTTGCTTTTCGCACACAGAAGGTCGGAGAGCTATGTGGGGAAGTTGATTTCCTCACATGGCCCGCAGCTAAACGATCGGCAAAGAACTTGTCGATCGCAAGTACTTGTTCACGAGGCAGTGGCCACTGCTTCATGACACAGTACTTCGAGCCTGGTTTAAGCTCGACCTCGTGTCGAATACCTTTATCCTTCGGTAATTCGCACGGAACAGTTTCAGGAATACATCCTGAATTCAACCAAATCTTCATAGAGAGGATTTGTCTTGAGCGATTCCCACGATTGGGAGTCATATCGCTCAATTCGTGTCTTTTCATCTAGGACACTCTCGTCCATAGATGAACTACTGAGAACTCTCTCGTTCTCAGTAAACACTGTTGCTGACCTTATGTCGGTTACACACTCGTCGTCAGCGACGAGTACGCAGATCTGCTTGACTTTGCCACTACGCAGATCACGCAAGAACCTTTTATGTTCGAGCGTTGGCAACTGAGTGATCTCCGAAGTCAACTTCGGAGGCGCAATCAGATCAAGTGTATAAGCGCCTACACTTGATCCGTCATTGACTATGACATTCAATGTCTCTGTCATTTCCTGGGGACTTATTCCCTCAGGCCTCGAAGGACTTATTCCTTCGGCTTCCCGGGGACTTATTCCCGCGGGTTTCGGGGAACTTATTTCCGCCGTATTTGTAATCTTGGGACTTATTCCCTTTACTTCCTCTAGATGTGGTTGCGCAACCACAGCGAGATCCTCTACGAAAGACTCTCCAGTCGATCTAGGATTATCGTTTTGCTTAACCTGAGCGATCGATTGTTTCTCTTCAAGATGTTCCCCGCTAGGGATACATCTTTGTCCCGGTCCACTCGACTTATTCGAGTGGTGGACCTTCGGCGCAGCCTGTGTTTCCTCACAGCCGCCGGAACTTTGCTCCGAAGTGTAACCGTTTGGTACACTAAGGTTTTGTGCAGTCGTACTAACGACCGTACCACAAGTGAGGCCATCGCACTCACTCGTAGTACATCCACACGCTTGTGGACGCTCCAAAACGTTCATCAGATGGCCATCTGATGAACAAGCGGCAGGCATCGTTACTGTTCGATGTTGCCAGTTTACCCGTGGTTCGTACCTTCTGAGCCACGGTATTCCAAGGATGACATCAAATTTGTCATCCAAATCCAATACGATAAAGTCATCGTCATATTGGGTATCTTCTAGCGTATAGTGGATCTTCACTATACGCTTCATGACGGTTACGGATGCGCCTGTCGCAAGACGTACCGTCATCCTCGTAGGAGGTGTGTCACATTCACTGAACTTAAAGTGACCATCTTCTAGCGATTGGCGTCGCACAAAAATTGTTGGACGCCCCACAATCGACTAGAGCTCGAAGGGACAACTTATTCGTCACTTCGAGTTTCAAGGTAATGAGTGAGATCTCATTACCTAGAGCAGCAACGCACAACGTTTGTGTGTTGGGAGCAACCTTCATCAAGAGGCCTACAAATTCTCTTGACGTTGCTGGACCAGTAGGGTACTCCGCACCTACTGATCCTGTCCGTTTTTTGACGGTCCATCCCGTTGTTGCGTCTTTGCACTAACAGCGGACCCGCGTCCCTGCCCCTTTCTCATATGTGGACGGTCACTACGCCCAGTGTTGCGAGACACTGGACGAGGGGCACTACACTCGTAAGCGTAGTGTCCTGTCTTTTGACATCTGTTGCATTTCTGCAACTTCTTGTAGTCTGTAGAGCGAGCCTTCTCGCTCTCTACATAACAGAGTTCCATCGGCTCTGGACCTCCGCTGTCATATCGTCTCGGTTGACAATACGATGTCGAGCTGGCGCGAGCCTGTCTCAGACTGAAGTCTTCCTGTTCCGCAATGGAAATGGCTTGTTCTAGTGAATGTAGTTCAAGTCGGAACAGGTGAGTCTTGACGGGACCATCCGCAAGACCCTGCATGAACACCGAAACCAACGTGTGTTCATCCACCGGATTGGAACTTATACAACTCGTGAGATGTCGTATATGTTGAGCGTAAGCGTGCACATCACGCTTACCCTGCTTGAGCTTCAAGAGTTCGGTTCGAGCTCTGAACTCAGCTCTAGGCGGTTCAAACGTTTGTCTGAGCCGCGACTTGAAGACTTCCAACGACCCAAACGCATATGGGTCGTGCAACTTGAGCCCCAGTGCCCAAGTCTTGGCACGTCCTGCCAGATTTGATTGGGCAAATGCAACTTGCATATCCCCGTCGTCGATGCGACGCGCCCTTATGGCGTCATCCAATTCGACGAACCATCTCAAGAGGGAGTCCTCTTCGACTCCCCTATACTTGGAGATGTCAATCTTCAAGGTCTCGGGTCGACGCGAATGCATCGACCCACCAGCAGCAGCCTGCTGCTGTCTCAACAGTTCAAACTGTTGAGCACCCTGTTCTCTCAACAACTCCGCTTGTTGAGAACCTTGTTGGTGAAGCAAGGCTACTTTCTCGCGTTCTGCGTCAAGTTCATTTTGAATGAACTTGGCGATAGTAGCATGTTGGGCATCTCTATTGAGAGCCTCTAGCATGACGCTAACAGCATGGATGCCCATGGTTGAACCCATTCGTTCAACCGCATCCCATTCGACATCGCTCAAATGGGAGTAGCCGTCACGCGTAGCGTGAAAGCTTTGTTCATCTTCATCATCCAACATATTCATGTTAGATGTGATCGTGGTCCTTGGACGGACTACGAAGTGCTACCAGGTGTGACGGGGCACTTTGAAGCTTGTACTGATGACAGTACAAGCTATTCATTCTGATGACAGAATAAGGCGGTGCCTCGGAACTTCACGTACACTCGTACGTGCAGAGGAAGACGGTAAGAAGAAGCGAGTACTTGGTTAAAGTAAAAAGTAGAACTGTATTTATAATAGTTAATGTCTGCAATAAATCACTATTTATCTTCATCTAACTATGTCTAAATACAAATGTGCATATCAACTATCTGCTCACCACTCATTGCGTGCGTCTGTCGTGGCGCGTCTTCGTTGGTTGATATAATGGCCTATATCAACCAATTAGGAACTACTCGTAAGTGCTACAGAATATTTGTCCTTATGACAATATTCTGAGAATATAACTCTTATAGTTATATTCTATTAACAATTTCTTATAAATTGTTATGTAACGATTCACCCCGTTACAGAATGTACCCACAGCACCTACAAAAATAGACTTCGGCTAGACCTGGTATATCGCATTGCCCACCTGTGGAATCGTAAGGCTACGTTGAGCAAGACTTTTAACCTGTCATTGATATGCACGAAGTAGCGACTGACTTTGGGTAGGTTTGAAATGGATCATCTATGATGTCTACTTTTTTACTTGTACAGCGCTGGTATCTTGAGTGTAGCACGGCATTTTTACCAACATCACGTTCAATGTTAGACAAAGCTCAATTCCTAGTTTTGTATGGGCGAGTCGACAACGGGCAGTGATATAGACGTAAATCAATGTGTAGACAGAGTCCCTTTCAGCTGCATAACGTCTAACGATACATACCCTTCCCCAGTCGAGTGACAGCTTTCACGCTGTGCAAACTACAGTTTTGCACAACTTATAGGGCTTCTTTTGCCGAGTACATGTGAATTAACCGACGATTATGTTGTCTACTCGATTCGGTGTTGTCACCCTTAACAATAGAAATACCAAATACATTTTAAGCACCTTGCGTTCTTCCTGCACATCAGATCCATTAGCCGCAAGCTGCGTATTTGGAATTCAGATAATGCGCTTGGCTGTGCGACTGACTTTTAGTGGTGCTGAATGCCACTGACATGTTGTTTCATTATACTGTCACTCATCCATACGTTTTCCAGCGAGCGCAGGGTCCGGTGACATGTCCACTGGTCACGGTCGGCCCAGCTTCCTTTCGAGCGAAGGAAGCTGGGCCGACCGTGACCATTCTGGACGGCATGTGCTACGATGCACAATTGGGACGACCATATATCGCCCGAGTAGGATCGTGATTTATTTATCGATCTGAATGCTGTGGAGACTTTGCGGCTTGTTTAGTTAAATGCGAAGAAGGGCGGTCTCGCTATCATTAACATGCCACCAACCATAAAACAATTTGCTTTGGTAGCAGTAGAGTTGACGCGTTTCGGGTAAGTATCCCGCACAGTCAAACGTAGCAAACAAAAATTCAATCATTTACAAAAGCTGTGAGCACCACCACCAAAAACGGTGCAAACCATTTTATTGTAAATTTCTAACACGCCATTGACAATATTCGAGATTCGTTCAATGGCTACAACCGACGCTGAGCAGCTCCGCTTAAGCGGCTTCAAGCGCATTCTGGTCCATCTAGATGACGATACGCGTCGCAAGTACTGTTGTCGAGCTGTAGAAGAGGACCTGAAGCATGTTGAGGGACAGGTGCGGTCGTGTTTGGCCTCGATGGCCGAGGTGAAGCAGGTGCAAGACGCGACGCGCAAACTGCAAGCCAGTCAACAGACCGCAGTCTCGAGCGAGCTTTTGACTGAATTAGAAACGCTTCAGGTCCAATTAGAAATGTCCATCAATAAGACCTGCTCAGTCCAAAGTAGCTCATTCATTGTGGCAAATGACGCCAGTAAGGAAAGTTTTGCAATAAAGGACGAGGTGAGAAAAGCGCTTGGGGATGAGCCGCTGATGTGCGAAAAGATCAGGACGCTGGTAGACAAAGTTCGATTGTCGCAGGATCTCAAGACTACCGTCGACGCGATTCGACAATTGCAGCAGTTGATGCCCGTCCTGGCGGATGCAGACGCTAAGACGATAAAGTCGTGGAAAAGGCATGTGGCTAAGGCCGTGCATCATGCTGTGGTTCTGGTGACGGAGAAAAAGAAAGACCATAATATGGTGCAACGGCTCGAGAAAACGCTCAAGAAAGTTGTCGACAAGTGCCCAGAGATGAAGAAGTGGCAAACGTACGTGAAGGCGCTGGTTTTGTTGCCGGCGATGGTTGCGACTTTAAATTCACTATTGATTTGTGTCGTGTTTGTTTTGCATTGCATAGCAACGTGCTGAAGCAGCTTGAGGCCAGGATGAAATCGAAGGGTGAGTCAGCAGTGAAGAGCAAGAAGAAGCGGGCAATTGCGCTGCCTGATGGTGGCGACTCAAGCATTGTAAGCAGTGCATCATCGTGTGTCCAGCCGCCTGTAGTGCCTAAGAACAAAGAAAAGAAGAAGAGCCAGTCGGCTGAAAAGGCTCGGGCGCAGCTGCAACAATGCTCGCGAGAGGTGCGCACTTTGCGTGACAAATTCAAGCTCGGCACGTACGATGTGAATCTGAGTCGCATGGTGACGATTGTGGACTCACTTTGGTCGGGCATCGAGCACTCGGAGGTTGTTCTGTTGACCACGGCGCTATTCACTTTGGTAGAAACAGTGGAAAAGGTGGCGGATCACACGAAACGCCGAGACCGGCTCGTGTGTCTCGAGAGCGTACTAGCTGTCGTGTTGGACTCTTCGAAGCTGCAACTGACAACGCGGCGGAAAATGATGGTCGAAGAATATGCCAACAACTGTCGCCAGTCGTTGGATCAGCTGAACCGCGAAGGTAAGACACTTGCTGCTAGTAGCACTAGTGAACATGCTGTAGTTCCGGGAGCGAGTTTAGTGCGCAAAAACCGCTAGATCATGCAGTGCAGCTAAATCACATGTAGGTACAGCTGGTGTCGTAATTAGTATGTACAAGATGAGCCAAGTAACTGGCAGATCGATCGTCAATTATTCCACGTAACCTACGACAGGTACAAACTGCTGGCGAACACAACGTCACGCTTGATGGCCTCAGAGGCAACTTCCATCTTGCGGTAAAGTTGCGGGTCACCAATAACGCGGGCAGCAGTGCGTACTTCACGACAAACTTCATCCAGACGCGTAATGCAGCGAACAATAGAGCCTTCTTGGACGTCTGTGAGCTCACATAGTTGTTTGAATGGCATTCCTCTTGCCCATTCATATACGACTTCCATCAGGCCAAAATTGAGAGCGCCCTTGCAGTATACCGTGGGGTCGATTTCCAAGTGCTGCTCCAGCTGAATGAGGCCCAACGATTCAGCAATATTCTTGACCATCTCGCGCGTGCTCTCCAAAGTGGGGGTGAGGGTCGGCTCAGATTGCGACTTCTCTTGAAAGATAAGCGCAGAAAGCACGGCAACAATCTCTTCAGGCTCCAGGTTGGCTAGCACATTTTCAAAAATCATCTCTGTCAATACTAGCTCTTCGCACGTATTGATTTCGCACGCAACCCGACCCTTAATCTGCACGACACCATCGTCCGAGATGTAACCGAGTCTTTTCAACACACTCAGTCGCTGTTGAAAGTCAGGGAAGAGCGAAAGGGAGTCATTAGATAGCTCCCGGGTCATTCGAACCAAATAGGCCTTCAGCTTGATGATTTTCTCTACTTTGCCCATAACACGAGAATTTGTCGGCGAATCCGCTGCACACGGATGATTGAGCACCATCGAGTAGATCTGCTGCCACTGGGTGTAGCCTGTTGCGGCTTCAAGATCATTGACCTTGAGTTCACCCATGATATCCACGTATGCGATTGCCGCCTTCTGCGACGATGCGGTATCCTTCTCAAGCTTTACTAGAAACTCAATACCACTGGCGAGCTCCTTCTTGGATGTCAAAGCCACAAGTGTCTTTGTATTAACATTCGAGACAACGACGGATGTGATGCTGTCGACACAACTTTCAGGGACTTCCAGTACAGCGTACTTTCTTCCAATAAGCGTAGCGGTTGATGGAGCTACAAGCTCAGTGCTTTCTTGACCCTCAGATTTCCCTTTGATGCCCAGATGTCCAGATTTGCGATCGTCGTCATCATCTCTCTTGTTACGCAACAGGCGCCCGCTGCCTACAAGAGTGTTTGAGTTATTTCTGTTAACCGAGGGTACCTCAATGGTCGGAGGCTGGTAGTCATCCGGACAGAGAGTTAATACCATAATCGACTTAAATGCGCCGTTGTACCCAGTATCGGTAGTAACAGAGCTTCGGAGCTCGGTTTCAAATGAAAGCTTCGATCTGGCGGTTCCACCTTCACCCAACACAGCAGACCTGGTGCGCACAACCAGTGCCAGTTGATCGGGCGCCAGTCCCTTTACACTAAGAACTACAATTCGGCCAGGACATATTGCAGTCTTAGCAGCTTGAATGTTGTTTGCAAGCAGCCACTTTGTCAAAATCTTTTCCAGTTCACGCTTATCACGACACAGCTGATAAAACTCTTTCATACGCGCAAGCTCTCCACTCGTCTCAAGATGCGGGTAGTCTTCAATAAGGGATTGCTCGAGCTGCTGGAGTAGCACTCTACCCTTCTGAATTAATTTGGGAATATTCTTCGACGCAAGAGCCTTTTGTGTGTGGAATTCTGAAAAAGAGCGCTTCATCATATCCTCCACCGTCAGCACCTCCACTCGTAAAAGGTTCAAAATCATGTTGTATGTCAGGCGGAACTGACTGGAAAGTGATGTTGCCTTTCCTGCTAGCATTGTTCTCAGCGATGTGGGCTCGGGAACATCGTTCCAGCATGCAATGATAACGGTACCAACCAAGTCCAGACCACGACGACCAGCTCGACCAGCCATCTGTGTGTACTCGCCAGGCAAAAGGTCTCGAAAGTTCTTACCATCGTGCTTACGAATGCCATTAAAGATAACCGTACGCGCAGGCATATTCACACCCATTGCAAACGTTTCTGTTGAGAACAGTACCTTGACAAGACCTCGGCCGAATAAAATTTCGACCATCTCCTTGATAATCGGGAGCAGGCCACCATGGTGAACACCAACGCCACGTTTGAGCATTTCTTTCATTGTTAGCACCTGTGGCAACTCACGGTCGGATCCTTGAAGTCTATGCACACTATTCTCAAGGAAAAGGTGAATTTCAGACCGCTCCGATGGCGTGCTCATATCAAGCTTGGCCAACTTGCTTGCACTTTCCTCGCACAGACGTTTGCTAAAGGCAAACACTACCACCGGAAGAAGTGCTTTATCCTTCAAAGTGTTAATAAGTTTCGTCCACTCTCCTTGATCACCTCCCGACTTGCGAATGTTAAGCGCGTTCGCGCGACTTCCACCACCGCGGGAAGCATTTCTACCGCCTCTAGTGCTGGCCCCCGATTTATCAGAAGCGGCAAAAAGTTTGGCCTTGGCTGCTGTGTACGCACTCGGAAGATACCCAGAAGTGGCATCATACAGCTTAAATAACTCCTTTCCAGCATAAAGGAAGTGTTGAAGAGGAACGGGCCGCTTGTTAGTCGATATTACGTGAATTTTATGCTTCTTCGTACGTCCGATCCAGTCTGAAAATTCCAAGTGGTTTGGAGTGGTTGCCGACAAAAACACCATACCAATGTGTTCGGGAAGCATTATAATCACTTCCTCCCATACTACTCCACGTTCGCTATCATTAATGTAATGAATTTCATCAAAGATAACCCACTCAATATCGCGAATAATATCCGCGCCTCGGTACAGGATCGAGCGCAGAATCTCCGTCGTCATGACAAGACAACTCGCGTCCGGGTTTATGCTGACGTCTCCAGTGATCAAGCCAACATTGTCAGGACCAAACTTGGTGCGAAAGTCGCGGTACTTCTGGTTCGAAAGCGCTTTAATGGGCGATGTGTAAATGGTTCGAGTCATGTGCTTCTGAGACATCGCAATGGCATATTCCGCAACAACAGTCTTACCAGCAGACGTGTGAGCTGCTACGAACACACATTCGTGCCTTTCTAGGTGAACTACGCATTCCTTCTGGAATACGTCCAGCTCGAATTCATACTTTATGGCCATATCTGGCACCTTCTCATGAAAGTTGCGCACATCGACGCTCGCCATGCTTGCCCATTCTGAAGTCGAACTTGTTTTCTTCTGCAAGGTAAGAGCTGTCGACGCCCCATCTGAATCAAGCATTGCCTCCAGTTCTGCTTCCGGGTCTTCGACAGCTACTCGTGCACTAAAAGCGCCTTCAGACTTGTTCCCCAATGCCGCCGTTTCAACTTCTGTACCTATCTTTGCAGCATCGACTACACTTGAGATTTCGTCGTCCGCAATCTCTTGTTTTTCATCATTATCAACTGTAAATCCTAACTCCGTCAATTCTCCATCGTCCTCCATTTCACGCAGCAGCTGGTCAAGTCCAACCGTTACATTTTCATCATGCTGCCTCATTGCGTCTGCGGCCTTTTCCTCCAGCACAGCACTTCGAATTGCATCCACATGATCTTTATCAACCAGAGCTTCAAAATATGGCTTAAGTAGTGACGAAGGATTGACTCCTACCACCTCCACATCACCCTCATCCCTCTTCTCTCCAGCGACTTCAGACGTTATCCTGTCGACATCTTCTGCCGTCATGCAGCCATAAAGTCCGGGCACGTCCTCCACTAGACTCACAAACGACTCTGGATCCACTTGATACTCTTCCAGGACCAGTTCATTCCGCAGCCGCTCTTTCTCCTTGAGCAGCTCTTGTTTCATCGGCTCGAGTGGCTGCCCATGGGCATTGTCCGTCTCCAACTCGGCCAATGAATTGCCCCCAGGTACAAACGGTTTGTTGCTCCCTGTACCTCGAGCGTACTCGTCTTGTTTACTCATCACTGTACTAAACTCTGCGTCCCTTCGACTTCGAGAGCTCGAGCCGTTCACCGCTCGAAACTCGTACTGGATCTTCAATGGCTCGTTCAAAATGGACGCTCGTGTCGGCACTAGCACCCTCCGGGGCGCAGACATGGGCATTTGTGCCAACAGACGACTGGGTGGCACGGTAACCTTCTTCTGGAGTCCAACCTGGTCATTTACCCTGCCAAAACAAGGTCCCAGACGGTCCAGCGCATACAAAGGATGCGCCATCGTATCGAGCTCCTTCTTAACCCTAGACCTATCCTTGTAGGGCGACGTGAGACGCACTCGAGGCAGCGCGAATGGTGATTGAGAAAATGGACGACCTGGGGTACGGTGGGGTACACTCACGACGGCCTCTGGCGCCAACGACGACGCCGAGACGACGGAGAATTTGTCCAGTGCTGTGTCACATGGGGAAGTACAAGGACATGAAGCTGCAGCTGCTGCGGTCTCGTTGTTTAGCCGCGTTAGCTCTGCCACCAGGCGCTCGACTGCTGCCATTCTGAAGATTGACGAGTTACGTCGTATACCCCTTAGACGCTAGGATCCGCAAAAAAAGTGTAACCACCAGTTGGTCGTAAGGGTACGTTGTAAAGGTACCCCTCTGTACCCATCGTGCTATTAGAACCGGTATTATGACGGCAGCGGATGAGGCGGAGGAGCTAGCGCTGCGGTGTTGCGTGTGCGGTACATCAGCTGAAGATGACAGCAATTACCTTAATACAAAGATGAAAATGCTAATATCCAAATGTGGCCACCGGTTGTACGTTCGCTTAATCTTCTTGGCTCGATCAGCTACGGAAGACGAGAAGGCGAGTAACCCCAGCGTGTACCCCGCTGTTTCGATCTTTATGTGTCTCTCTCTTTAATTATAGCTGCGACCACTGTATCAAGCGTGAGTTCCAACATAAGCGCGAGGTCGCTTGTGCTGCGTGTCAGAAGCCAGTAAAAAAGTCACAGCTACAAGATAAAACCATTGAGGAGCTCAATTTTGCGAAGGAAACGTCAATACGCAAGAAAGTGATCAAAGAGTGAGGTGGTATAACTATTGAGAGGTCGTTGCGTCGACTAATCTCAGACGTTGGTGGTAGTTATAATAAGACGGAAGAAGACTTTGACACGCTGGACGAGTATAATGATTATCTAGAGACGCTAGAGAATCTCGGTACGAGAAGAACGATGACAATGATGACACTACCCTCGTAAAGGGAATCACTAACGAACGGTGTGTTCTGCAGTTTTTGATCTAGTGTATGGCAACGAAGACGAGCGGGCGGCGGCCCAAAAGCAGTGGAAGCAGTATCGACAGGAAAATGCAATTTTGATTGCTACAAATGACGCCAAAAAGGCGGATGAGGAGCGACGAATCGCACAGTTGATTGCAGAACAGCAGAGAATGGCTGAAGAACGTCGACAGCTGCAGCAACGTGAAGACTCGCAATTTGAAGCGGATTTGGAGCTTCAAAAAGAGCAGTTAATGGAGGTGGCTCTAGGCGAACGTGACGAAAGTGACGTCGCTAAGTTGCGTGCTACTACAACTGCAATTCCGATCGATCAGGCAGTTACAGCGGAAATGGAAGCTGCGATGATGGGCTTTCAGCCTGGAGTAATTGGCGGGCCTCAACCAATTCCGGTTCCCGGAGGCAAACGTGGACCAAACTTTGGCGTCAACGAGTCGAAGAAGCTGCGTCGTCAGCAGCAGCTTGCAGGTGGCTACGACCCTGACGTGCATTTTAAGCGCAATCGGACTGAGGCCTGGTGCGGCATTTACTTCTGTCCTACTGACAGAAGAAACGATACGGGCAACGGCCCAAGCCCAATGGAAATATGCTAGCGCATTTAACGAGAAAGTGAGATAATTCGCAGGTGGAATACAGGCAGATTTCCTCTGAACATACGCAAATGAATAGCGTCGGGTCGGAGCGAAGGACGAGTCAAACCAAGCATTTCTTATGACGAAAGCGCTGATAGGACGACCAATGGCTTGCGTCATTAAAATGCATCGAAGTGACGCCTTGGTTATTTTCTTCACTGATCCGGCGTAAGGCAGCTTTATTTTGGTCGAATTGATCTGCACGACTGCCACTTCCTGAAGTACCGGTTTTCTTCTTGACGGCTCGCATGCAAAATTAGGGAATTGTGCAGAACGGATGTGATTCGGGATGGATCGGACACAATGGGTCGGAAAATGTAACCCACAGGAGGGACAGTATTATTTTTAGATAGTCAGCAGTACTAAAAATGTTATTTCACTAATGCTCGTTGCCATCTTCTTTTATGTATTTTCATCCGTAGCTTCCCCCCCTACGCGATCGCATCAGGCACAATGAACGTACAGATCTGATGACGGGGGTAACTTTAAAATACATACATTGCTACGTTACATATAGCAAAGCATTTTTCAATCAGAAATTAACATCTTTTGCAAATTCATACATTTACACACGTTGTGTCTGATTCCTATGGAAACGTTTTATAATAGAAACTCGATCATAGCCAACGTTTTAACCCGTTTAACAGATTGAAAAGAACGTTTTATGTTTTATACTGTACGCCACTCCAGTGACGTGGAGTCCACGCTCAGCGCCACACCCGCGCACTTTAAGATGGCACCCCAGAAACGTCAGCGCGGTGTTGAGTGGGACGAGTTCGATTACGTCGAGGACAACGGTCAGCACAAGATCCTTCGTGTAGCGTGCAACTACTGCGCTTCGAATGTGTCCGCCTCAACTGCGAACATGAGGACGCACCTGAGAAACTGCAAGAAGCGGCACGCCGATCATCGTATCGTCATCTAGTCCAACAGAACAGTCCAATCAGTGCACCGCTTACCTGCAACAGCGCTAAAAAGTCGATCGCCGACCTTCGCAGTTGTACTCGCTGTGGTCGCGCAAGGAGAAGGGCGGGCTGAACACCCTCTTCGCGAACGCGATGCAAGAGACTGCTATGACGTTTAACGCTTTTGATCGCCCTTCTTGACAGGCATTCTTCACTCACGCCGTCGCTGTTTGAAGTCCTCCATCCCTAGAAGCCGTTGACATCCGCCTCCTCATCGAACCATTTGAGAAGTGAATGCAGCTGGCGTTTAACAGCGCACAGCAGAGGCCGTGGATATTGGCATGGACGGCTTAAATGAAGTCCTGTCGTCGTCCACGTCAAACATAACCGCGCACACGCCCCGGCCCTGGTTTGTAGAGTACTTGTGAGTGGAGCTCAAGAAGGTGTCGGCCGACTGATTTTTGGTGAAAATTAAGGCCTCGATCAAAGCGTTGCACCATTCGGCTGGTCAGCAGGTCGTAAACGGATTAGTATCGGTCTCGTGCAACGTGATGCGTTGTCTGCGGGCCAAACTCGTCGAGGAGAATGTGGTCGACTTCTCGTTCGGATACGCCGCCTACCAAATTTACGACCTGGTCGAGGACTTGCTTGAGTGGATGCGTTTAAAACATTCCTTAAACAGGCCATGTACCTGTCTAAGGCGGTGAAATATCAGGATCTTTTGAGCAAGATACATCCGCCATCTGTAAGCGGTCACTTGGTATGGCGCTGGTCATGGTCCTATTCTTGCCCTCGTTGGAACAGCGTGAACTGCATGTGCCAGCGTCTCCAAACTGTCATGCGGCCCATGTTCGAGATCAAATTGGCGGTCCGAACGGAGAAAGAACAGCCTGGTATCTACCCGTAGTTTCCTCCGCTCCCTGCTGTCGTCGAGACCATGCGAGATGATCGGTTCTAAGAAGTCTTCGCCTCCCCGCCGATCTGTTCGACCCGCTTTACAAGTGCATCGGCTTGTGGACTTCGACTCGGCGACAATGGGGACCGCCTACACATGCTTCCAATACATGCTGGACCACCTAAATGGTGTTTTTCCTGATGACGATGGCCAGCTAGAGCATGCCATCCAGAGCCTGCTCTACCGCTGTAAGTGCGTGTACAGTCCGGTCCACTTTTTGGCGTTCTTCTGCAACCCCTTCTACCCGGAGTTACGCCTAAATTTGACGCTCTACCACGGGGCGCTCTTCTTCGATCTTAACATGGGCAACCCGCGGCTGCAGTGTTGCATGACTCTCGATCCGATGGTTCGTCGGTACGATGACCTGGACGGCGCTGAACTCCTTGGAAAGTTCCCCGTCTTCTGCGCGCATCAGGAGGCCGAGTGTAAGGAGAAAGTCGCGATAAGCATGTATTGGCAAGGTATGATCTCGTCTCAGATCAGGGAGCGCTGGCCTATGCTCACCTTAGTTCTCGGCCGCGTGTACTACGAACCGGGTTCATCGGCTGGCGCTGACCGATGACCAACACAAGCTCAGCAAGCGAGTCCACACATTGGTTTGCAGCCGTAATAAAAGCGGAAAGGTCGGACGTCAAATTGCGGTGGCGCACATCAGCGCTACTTCGCGGTGCATACTTTCTCGAATTGTCAGCCCTTCAAGCACTTCATCGCCGCTCTGCGGAACAGAGCAGCTCAGGTGGACACTGGACCGCTTGACAACAAGCTGTTAATGGCGGTGAAACGCCAGCACGGCGATGATGGAGCAGACGATTTGGAAGGCTACATCGACTCTGTGGATCTGCAGCTCAACGATTTAAAGCATTTAGAACAGGACCTCTTGGCGAGTCAGCTGCGCGATGTGAAATCAACGAATAATGTTTTGTAAACTACCTCTTGTTCAGCAACAACGAGGTCGATCATAGTTGACGACTGAACGGTCAACGCCGTCCCGACCCCCGTCCCCATTTACCGCATAAAAATGTTTGGCTGAATTCGCTTGTATTAAAAAACGCTCTTGTAAAGAGTATGAAAAAGCTTTGTTTACATTGATTTAAACTCAAATAGATCCATGCTGATTCCACTCAATTTAAGCCAGTAGATATAATTAGATAAAAGGGTAGAGAGGCCTGCATTTCACCTCAAAATTTATCAAATTCCCGTCAAAAGTTGTAATTAGCAAATATAGTTAATACTTGGTGTTAACGTTTACATTTGTTGGGGATGATTGCACTGTTCATGGATTTTTAGACGTCAACTTGCCATCATTGAGCTCCGTTTGCGTTTGTTCAATTAAAATTTCTTCTAGTATTTCACGAATCACGGTAACTTGTAGCACTGAATAGAATATCCGATAACCCGATTCCTAAACCTTTACAACACAGCTCATTTACGCTACAAAAGCATTATGTTTCTATCGAGCGGCCCTTGTTGTAAATAATTGTTTCCGCGCTATGATATTTGCATAAGGTAAATATTGATAGTAATATCATGATAGAAAATGTTTGTTAGAAGTTACTCCTGTATTGTTTACCTCGCCGGTGATCTTATCATCGTCTGTAGTGCCATTTTTGGAGGCATTCCATCATGGACGCAATGCTACCATTAATGTCGGCCATGTACCTTATGCTATGTAAAGAGTGAGCCAAACAAAGAAGGTGACAGTCCACTGTCTACCCAACGAAGAAAGAGAGATGCAAACATCCAGTAAAGAGACATACTAAGTAATCGTCTGAATGTGGGCATTTTGAAAAAAACACCGGGCATTTTACGAATCATTAAGGTTTACCATACTACATGCATTTCTCCTTTGAGCATTTCAGGTACCTGTATCTTACTAAGTAATCTTCTTCTCCGTACCGGTGAACGCAAAGAGTCGAACGCACACATTCTTGCACTATCATCGATACAAGATCGTACTGGTCATCTGTGCAAGAGTGTGCACCGATGATAGTGCTACTGTAGATCTTAGTCCTACTGGGAGTGCGGGTCAAGTGAATCATGTCACTGCACTTCCGCATTGTTTGCATAGTGGCTTATCCTCCTGAAAAGCTACATTTTCTCGGTACAAGTGCATCCGAGGCTGCTATCGTGTGCTCATTTGTAAAAGCATTTCTCTGCGGCGATGAAGCAGACTGTTGTTTCCTTCGGGTATTACAAATTGCTATTTTACACGTTTGCTCACAAATTGGATCAAAAACATTATCACCAGCAGATAGAGAGCGAATTGTAATGGAGCCCTAATTTGATGGGGCACCGATTAAGATGTCCAGCGAACGGCGTTTCTCGTGCAAATATATTATGTATGTTCACGATTACGTTAGCTCTTGTAATTAATAATACATACCAGGTAATGTTAAATAGACCCCATTATTTACCAAAACACCCCATACACCACACAAATACCACACCACAGTATGGTCTGTACGACGAATAATCGCGCCACCATACCTTTGAACGACCACTACCGCACAACAGCATGCATCTTTTATTAAAACATATAATGATTTACTAAGCAAACTTATTTTGGCACGTAATGGATGGCAGAAGCTCTTTGTCTCCAAATTTGACTGGACCGACGACCTCGACGCACTCTTCACTACTTGCCAGATACATCTGGGCTGCTATTCAATCTATCAGAATGGCAATTGCCAGGATTTTGTCGCGAAAGGTACAAAACTAAACGAACAAAGGTCCAGCTTTTATTAATCGTAACAGGACACATCTACCACAGCACGAAAAATTTATAGAAAAAATAATTATACATCTATAATATGAATCTTTTCGATCAGAAGGTCCTAACTCTGCGTTAGTACCAGAACACTATTTGCCTTTCGAAGAAAGATTGTTAGTGAAATCACTAAATATTCGCTTGAACGATGCAGATTGGTGTGTGATATAGGTCGTCAAGAGGTACGGTGGCGTAATATTCGCCGTACTAACTATACTGTGGTGCGGCCTGGGTATTGTGTATGGGGTGTGTTTTTTTAAAAGTAGAGTGTCTTAACAATACCTACATATCTAGCGCAATTTAATTACTGTTCATACTTGCGAAACGGTTGCCGCTCAGTTCGTAGATCAATTTACTGTAGAGTTGTACTGTGTATCAGTGTGCTTGGAAATCGAGTGGTTGCTAGTTCAGCTCAGCCCCCCTCCCCCCGCGTTATGCGACAGACTTAAAGGGCCCGTCCATTCACTCGATGGTCTCTCTCTCTGCTTCTTGTTGAAACTTGATCTTGATCCTCTCGACAAAGACCTATTTTTCTTAGAAACGGTTTGCTGACTTTGAAATGCTTATCAGGGAATCAGATGACGTGGCAGATTATGAACGGGCAAAATGCATGTATATTACACGTGCCCGATTGGGGACGCGATACTCAACAAGAAGGTCTAAAAAGGAAGCCAGTCCTTGAGACCTGCCACTTAAGTAAGACACATCATGTGACGCACCCTCGTGCATGTGATTTACGCAAACTGCATTCACATTGATGGAGATGTCGCCCAGATGGGACTAGGCGTCATCAAATGACGTCAGTCAGTTACTGCAGATAAGCGAGTTTAAACATATTTAAGATCGTACGTAGGGATGCACATCCATGGACATTGCCATTGTATTACCCAATTAGCAACTAGATTTATGATTTGTGATTTACATGAAATATGAATTAGTCTTGAACTTTAAAACAGCGCACGACAATCTGGAAGGACTGTAAAATCATCGTTCTACGACGTAGTGATTGTTTGCCTGATTTTGTTTTCGGAGTCGCATGCGCGACTTGCACATGTTGCATGAGCTTTCGCATTTAATGTCCTGCTAAATGACGGATCAAGTATAGTCATTTATCAACTTGATCCAATCGCGCCTCCAAAGACAACTTCGGAGATCGTTTTTTTCCACGCTCGAACAGAAGAGGTTCTTGGGTGATTTACGTAGTGGAAAAGACAAGCAAAATTGTGTACTAGTCGCGGAAGACGAGTACGTAACTGATATTTGTTCGGCATGGGTGTCTGCTGTTGTACGAAAAAGTTCTTAGCAGCTCAACAATGAACGATATTATCCTTGATGAGAAGACTCGGATTGAGCGATATACACCCCAATCGCGGGAATAGCTCAATCTAAATCCTCTCTACGACAATATTGACGAAATTCAGAGATGTGTTCTTAGAGACAGTGTTGTGCGAGTTACCCGAGAATAAGGGTACTCATCATGTGATTGATCTAAAACCGTGTTTGACACAGCTAAATTAATGTATCAAGAAGCAGTAGCCACAGGTACTATCAATTGACAAGTTCTTTGCCGATCGCTTGGCAGCGAGCCATGTAAGGGAATGTACTTCCCCAAATCGCTCTTCGTCTTTCTGTGCACGAAAGGCCACAAGAGGATGGTGGATAGTAAGCGCCTTCAAAAAGCTAAATGCTGCAACTGTACCGGATAAGATGCCGATACTAAGGAGGATGTCATTATAGGTGGTAGGCAAAGAGAACCTTCCTAAATTGATGAATCTGGTGGACGGATTCTATCTGGAACTTATGTGTGAAAAACGTCCCGCACACAGCAGTGAGTACCTTCAGCGGTATGCGTTATCAGTGGCTAGTTATGCCACAGGGATTAGGTAATGCCCCTGCTACGCTTAACAGATGTGTCAGCAATCTGTTGAGATCTGTGCGAGAATTTGTACCTAACTATTGTGATGACGTGTTCGTCCATATGCGGGCTAAGAGTGGACAGACGGATGTTAGAGTTCACTGACTCCACGTCCGAAAGGTTCTTACACTGATGCAGATCATAAGTTGTTTGTCAACCCCGAAAAGTGCACATTTGCTGCTGGCGAAATCTATCTCTTGGAGGCATCGTGGGTAAGCAAGGCGTACGGCCCGATCCATAAAGGTCAAGGTTATCACTGACTGGCCGGTACCTGCCGACATAAAAGGACTTCGAAAGCTCCTTGGTTCAGCAGCGTATTTGCACAACTACTCGCGCGAGTACAACGAGATGACCATTCATCTCTCTCGTCTTTTGAAAAGAGCGAGAAGAAGGCATGGAGTGCTGATGTCCAGCGCTGCTTCGATTGTATCAAGCTTTGCTTGATACGCATGCCAGTTTTGGCAATCGCAGACTAATACTGATCATTTCATGTGGTCTGCGATACGAGTGATTTTGCCATAGGATATGCACTGATGCAGTATGACGCAGATGGTGCTGAACGTGCCGTCTGCTATCAATCACGTCAGCTGCATCTGGATGATTGTAACTACCTAGTCCATAACAAGGAACGCCTTGCCATTGATAATCATTTGGCAAAAATCAGGGTCTACCTGCTAGTAGATCGACCCTTCGTCGTTAAGATGGACCATGCGTCCTTACGCTCGGCCGTTATAAGCCCACATCTCTCGCAACGAATGGCGAGGTGGCTTTTGTTCTTCGCGGAGCATAACTTCATTGTCGAATGTAAGTCAGGAAGACAGAATGTATTCAATGATGCTATGTCGATCCGGCTCGAATTTGAGTTGGCTGCACAACCTGA